AAAGCAGCGAGAATAGTAGTGAACCCAAATGAGCTCAGAACCCAGCTTCCACTTATCAGTACATGGTTAGCTTTGTTTAATCAGCACCCCACTCTTCCCTCTCTGCCCTTAATCTAAAGCAAGCCCTAGACATCATACACTCTTAGTGGCAAGTTGTTCACTATGATCTTGAAAGATAAGGATTGAGATTTGCCGGGAAGTATTTAGCAGTTTACTGTCTGGAAGGAAAAACTCTGATGAGCAGCATTTGCCAATTTCTGAGGTGTAAATCCTCTGAACATAGGGAATTTCAGGCTATTAACACGATGACAGGGAAACAGAGTTGGGAAGAGATGCGTGCCATTGGCTCTGATGAACTAGCATAGGTACCTCTAGCATAGCACTGCTTAAAATTATAAAATATATGGTGTTGACCTGACTCGCATAGCTTTGATATCTTCTTTGTTTTTGGTTCCTTAGTGTGTTTCAGGCTTTATAGGCATCTGTTTCTACAACAAGTTTCGAAGGGCCATGCATGTTTTTATGCTAAAAAGCTTGAACATTCCCTGAAAGTTGTGGGAAGTCTTTTTTTTTTTTTTTTTTCCCCTTGAGACAGGGTCTCGCTCTGTCACCAGGCTTGGAGTAGAGTCATGTGATCTCGGCTAACTGCAACTTTCACCTTCTGGATTCAAGGGATTCTCCTGCCTCAGCCTTCTGAGCAGCTGTGATTACAAGTGCGTGCCGCCATGCCCTGGCTAATTTTTGTGTTTTTGTAGAGACCAAGTTTCACCATGTTGGCTAGGCTGGTCTCAAACTCCTGACCTCAGGGGATCTACCCACCTAGGCCTCCCAAAGTGCTGGGATTACAGGCATGAGCCACTGCACTCAGCTGGAAGGTACTTTAAAGCAGGGCCAGGAGCTGGGTGGCCAGCGTTGCATTTCAGAACGGTTTCTTTGCTGGTTTGGGGTGGTGTTAGAGCACCAAAGCCCAGTTGAAGTCTACTGAACTTGAACTTAGGGAGTAGGAATGAAGAAGGAGGATGAGTAAAACAGACACTAGAGTCAGACTGTGCAGGAAGTGATGACTGCTTTATGTAGGATGTTGGGGGAGGGAAAGGGAGGGAGAAGACATTGTTCTTCCTTTTGCCTTTTTGACTAGTTGGAGGGTGTTGCTCTTTTTAAAGGAAAGATGGATGGGGAAGTGTTGTTGTAAATGCAGTTCAGTGATGCTTCCTTGGGACTGCATATGGACCTCCCAGACAAGAACGCCACTGGAAGAGAAACAGACATGGGTGCTTCAGGGCAGTGGTAGATAAGCAGATTTATGAATAATTCCAGCTGGTTAGACCATGGGCTAGCTGATTTCTCTTAGGTAGTATAGAAAGAAGAAGAGAAGGCTGGGACACATAGCTCTGGCATACCTGGGTTGGGATTCCTGCACTCAGGAGTCTAACCCAGACTCTTCTGTGGACTGATGAGCAAGGCCCACAAATCACTCCCTTTTCTTGACGTCAGCTTTTGCATTAAGAAATAATAATACCTAGCTAGCAGATTCAGAAAATGTGCAGCTAACGTGAGGCTGGTTTGGAAAACAAAGGGCAGTTTCCATGCCATGCTTAAGAACGATTCCTGTTGAGTGTTCCTTTTTTAGGCTCCTGTTTGTGTTGGTCTTGGGGCCATTCTTTTGGAGAAATCGGTTTTGGGCAGGGGTTTCTGAAATCCTCTGTGCAGCCTGAACCTTCTGCCTGGTGTTTGCGCCTGTCTCTGCCACAGCTGGTCCAGTCTATCAAGCCGCTGTCCATGGAGATGCTGTCTGCGAACCAAGGGAGCGGTGAGTCCTCCGGGCACACGCTATGGGACCTACATCTCCGGTGGAGCCTCCTTTTCTCAAGGGGTCATGTTTGAGATTGGGGGCAGGCGGGAGACAATGAACGGGCCTCACGGGGCACTTGTCTGTTGTCGTAGGCCAGCTGTGCTGCTGGGATGGATGTCTAAACAACGGTCAGAACTTTCTGATTCTCAAAAACGTCATGCGTTTCTTGGCATTTGTCTCTCCAGTGCAGTCTTTTATATGAATGCCACTGCAGGGTACCCGCCGAACCTTTAGGTAGCTGATGGTGTGTTTTTAAGATCTGGGAAGAGCATAAATTCCCTGTACTTGTTATACATCAATCGCTAACATTTACAAGTTACATATATTGTAGTTGGCTCTTCGCTCTTAAAATACCTGAGATATTATGCCCAGCGAGGAAATCTCAGAGGAGTCAAATGAAATTCAGCTGGGGAGTCGCAGAGCCGAGGCTGAAGGTTTCATCTCACTCCCGGTTCAGAGCTGTTTTCTCCCACTGTGCTCCCCCGATCATCTTCCTCCGAGGCTTCAAGGCCTTCTCTGTGTGCATGTGACTCCAGCCCCCTCTCCTCTCCTTACCAGCAGACCCGTATTTCTGGCTGTTTGCTGGACATTTATCTTCAGGTGGTGTATGCACATGGCATAGGCTTCTAAACTCCTCATGCCGTTAGCTCCTAAGTCAGCTCACACTGGTTCGTGGACTCACAGCCCCCCTTCCTGAAAATGCTGCTCCTGTGGTCTCCTTCCTCTTTCTTCGTTTCTTCTCTTCGACTGGCCCTGTCTGGTGCCACATTGCTCGATTCGTCTTTTAAAATTCATGCTGCTGTTGCCTCCGTCTTGCCTTGCTGTCTTCTGTTGTGAGACCCTCACAGCTGACCTTCCTGTTGCAGGCCATGCACCTTCACCCTGTGGTTCCTCTCTTTCGTGCTGGTTGCCTCCCTCCTACGCCATCAGGGTTTCTTCCCAAGGCAGCAGGCTCGCCAAGCCGCTTCTCTCTGTTCGACCCTCCGTTGCTCTCCCTGGCCATCTGTGCCCATGCCTGGGAAGCAACCAGTCTCGTGGTTGGACGGGGCTCGGCATTGCTTTCTTGGTGCTTCCTGGCAGCCTGCCCACAGCTGTATGGCACCTGCTGCCGTGTGCGTTCACCGTGCCTGTGAAACTCTCCGAGTTCCTCAATGGTCAGGGTTGTTTTCACTAAGCGACGCTTCCCCAGAGAAATACTGAGTCATGCAGTAGGTATCCCATAAATGATCATGTCATTAGACTCCAGTAAGCTTCAACTATGAATTCTGTGTTCTGTGTAGCAGCAGTCCCCAACCTTGTTGGCACCAGGGACCAGTTTTGTGGAAGGCAGGTTTTCCACAGTGGTGGGGGATGGTTTCGGGATGAAACTGTTCCTCCTCGGATCATCAGGTATTAGAGTCTCACAAGGAGCTTGCAACCTAGATTCCTCGCATGTGCATTTCACAATAGGGTTGGCGCTCCTGTGAGAACCTAATGCCTTGCCGATCTGACAGGAGGCAGAGCTCAGGTGGTAATGCTGGCTTGCCTGCTGCTCACCTCCGGCTGTCAGGCCCTGTTCCTAACAGGCTATGAAAGGGGACTGGGGGGCCCTTCTAAATAATATAAACATTTACATGCTTTTAACATGTAAATGAACATTTCTGGAATACACATATATATGTACACACACATATATATTTTAATCCAAACCCACAATCCAGTTGTTACAGTTTCAGAGTCAAATTTGATTTGAAAAATTGTGATTTAACTTTAACAATCTAAGAAGCAAATTATTTATCCTTATCTGGTGTTACATGGCTCAAGTGGAGTCTTCTGGGTAGCTCCATCTGGGGCTGAAGCAATCCTGTAGGGAATAGAAAAGAAACGGGTTTTCATTTAGATCACCCCCAAACCAGACAAGGGGGTGGCAGCAGCCTTTCCAAATAATAGGAGGCCGGGCATGGTGCAGTCTCCACACTTTAGGAGGGCCAAGGCAGGAGCATTGCTTGAGCCCAAGGGTTTGAGACCACCCTGAGCAACATAGGGAGACCCTGTCTCTATAAACGATGAAAAGAATTAGCTGGGCGTGGTGGAGTGCGCCCGTGGTCCCAGCTACTCCAGAGGCTGAAGTAAGAGGATCACTTGAGCCCAGGAGGTCAAGGCTGTAGTGAGCTGTGATTGAGTCCACTGCACTCCAGCCTGGGCCACAGAGCAAGACCCTGTTTTTAAAAAAAAAAAAAAAAAAAAAAAAAAAAAAAAGAGTTGACGAAGCCTGCCAGAATGGGATCTGTGGCAGAGAGGATCCCAGATGGCCAGGTGGGGAGACGCAGAAACAACTGCCGTTCCTGCATCTCCATGCCTTCGCTTTTATCACCATTTCTTGACAGTATCTATTCATCCTCCACCTTCCGTTACTCCGTCATTCCCTGCAGGTCTTTTAAGTATCCCCTCCTTGCCCTGCAGTGGAGCTGAGGCCTTGTGCATCCTGACTGCACTTCCTCGGCCTTCTCCTCCATCAGGGTGTCCCTGTGCCCCTTGAACTCCGGCTGGATTTTGTGAGCTCAAGGGCAGCTGGCTTATTCTGGGAGTCAAAGAGTTTATTATTCTCCTCGATTTGCCCTTTTCTTTGCTTTTCTAAGGCTCCTGTCCTCCCTTTCTTAATGAGGACCTAAGAGCTCTGCCTTCTTTCTTTGGCAGCTGTTTTTGAATGAGAAGTCTGTGGGAGTCCTGGATCATGTCACCCATCAGCTATTAAGAAAAATGTATCCAACCCAGTGAGGAACAAGTTCTAGCCCTGCCAGGCCCTGCGTGGGATATGGGTGCAGCCTGGCCCTGGGTACCCCTGCCAGGCCCTGTGTGGGATATGGGCACGGCCTAGCCCTGGGTAGCCCTGCCAGGCCCTGTGTGGATTGAGGGCTTGGCCTGGCCCTGGGTAGCCCTGCCAGGTCCTGTGTGGGTTGAGGGCGTGGCCTGGCCCTGGGTAGCCCTGCCAGGCCCTGCGTGGATGGAGGGCGTGGCCTGGCCCTGGGTAGCCCTGCCAGGTCCTGTGTGGGTTGAGGGCGTGGCCTGGCCCTGGGTAGCCCTGCCAGGCCCTGTGTGTGTTGAGGGCGTGGCCTGGCCCTGGGTAGCCCATTTGCTCCTCCCCGCCCTTTAGCTTACTCCTCAAAGGAGCCCAACTCGGAGGAGGGAGAGTTCTGTGGGTTTCTGAGGTACAAGCGTGTGTGCCATGGGTAAGCAGAGCTTTTACATCCTGAGTATCTGCTGCTCAAAAAACTCTGAATTGGCCTCCTGCCCCAGAGCAGTCTCTGATAAAATGTTCCAGGGATTCTTTCTTTTCCTGCCAGGCCTGGCCTGGGAGGGTGGGTGGATGGGTGGGGAGAGTGGGAGCCAGGGGTTTGCTTGGCTCGGTGCTGGGGGTCTGTAGGGCCCTGAGGCCTGCTGCCTGCCAGTCCTGCAGCTGTGCCCTTGTTGTGTCGGGGAGACCCAGAAGGAGTACAGAAGAGTGCCTCATGGTGCCCACCCTGGCTGTTCTGTCCCGGGCAGGGCCACCAGGACAGCGGCACTCTGAGGATCCTGGGGGAGAACCAAGGCCTCCTCACCCCTGGGCGGGACATCGGCGCAGAAAGAAAAGGTGGGCTCCAGTCGCTGCTGCCGTCACCCCAAGCTGAGGGCGGTGAGCACAGGCGTGTGGCGTGGAAGAGGCCAGGGCCCCCAGCTCTGAGACGCCCACATGTGAGGGAATACTGGGGCCTCAGCTACCCCACGTGGCACAGATATGTGAGTAGTGTGTTCCAGTGGGGGTGGCTAGAGAAGCCACTGCATGAGGAAATTGGGGACAGTCATCCACTAGTCCCCAGATATCGTCCAGCCCGTGGCAGGGATGTGGTGGGTAAGATGCCCGCACACATTTGCTCCACACCCAAGGTTCTGCAGCGTGAGCTTAGAGGCATCTTACCCACCAGTGTGTTTTGATGAATACCTGATGTTTAGGGAATCCACGGTCTCTGTTGGCTTGGGGCAGACACAGGGAGACTTGTTAGAAATCAGAGCCCTCTCCCATGAGGCCTAGGTGCCAAGCCAAGCCCAAGCCAGTGGTGGTACCGAACTCCCTGGGGCACCTCTCATCCAGGGACCCAGCTGGTCATCCATCCTGTGTAGGGAGCTCTGGCTGAGACAGAAACAAAGGAGGGAGAATGTGCATTCTCGCAGGAACCCCAAGCAGCCTCCATCCTTGCATGATCTGATTTGGTGTGTTGGTGGTGTATGGTGTCTGTGTGTGTGTGTGTGTGTGTGTGTGTGTGTGTGTGTGTGTGTCTTTCACCCTTGCGTCTTTACATCTAGAACTCAGATCTTGAATCTGCCGTTCCAGTCTTTTTCAGGACTGGATGAAAGGAGTTGTGTTCACCAATGGACAAAACCCGGGCTGCTGCTGGTCGTTAGGTCCTCAGAACACCCTCTACCCAGACAGCACCATGGCTTCATTCTGGAACAGATGAGGCGAACTCTGCCCATGGCACCTGTGCCCCAGTCCACCCAGAGGCAGAACTGGAACCTCACAGCCGCTCCACCTTGTCCTTGACAGATCATCGTGTTTGAGGAAGTGGAAGCTGGTCTCTGTAGCCGGATCATTTGGGTATGGCATTCCGAAGGGTCTTTTGTGGCATCTGGATGACCTTCTGGATGTTTCTAGCTGAGACAGGAACAAAGGAGGCAGGATGTGTGCTCTCGCAGGGCCCTGAAGTGGCCTCCGTCCTTGCCTGATGGACGGGTTCTCTTGGGCCTGCACAGCCCCACTTGTCCCCTTTGATTTTACTATGACCTAACTAGTCCACTCCTCTAACAGCCTGAGCCCGGCTCCCTCGGCCCCCTTCCACACATCTCCACTGTTTTCGGGATCCCGGTCTCACCGTCAGCCTATCCCAGCCTTCACTCCTGGCCTTTCTGAAGCATACCCTGCTCCCACTGCTGTCTTTCGCTGCTGTGGTGGTAGCACCAGGGCACTTTTTCTAGTACCTTTCCCCGGGCTGCCGTGGGTAGAGATGGCTTGGACCAGTTACGTGAGGTTGCAGTGGGGCCATCTGGTGCCTGCTGCAGTGGCTGCCCGTGGTCTGTCCCTGCCTCCCCAGCTCCTTTTGTTAGCAGTGGGATCCAGACATGCTTCTGGGGAGTCACCCCACTTAAGTGAAACCTTTGTGGGCCTAATAACTGAGCTGCACTCCTGCTCCCGCCCCACGTGGGGGTGTGGTACCCACGAGGCTGGTGGGACTTTCTTTTCCAGGCCACGGAGCCTCGAGGGGTGTGACATGCAGCAGAAAGCAGACAGAGCTGAGTCCTTTCCACAGTGGTGACTGAGTAGCCTGGGTCACAGGATTTGCCCTGCGTTGGGTCCGCTGTCCACCCTCTAACCTGCGGGGACATTTTTTGCTTGGCTTAAGCCCACCCATTGCACACCCTTCATTATATGGCGACAGCAAAAAGTGTTTGACCCCCAGATACAGTGTTGAAAACAGAAAGGAGATGCTCAGAACGCCTGACTGTGCAAACGCATGTCTGGAGCAAAGTGACCTTTCCAAGAAATCAAGTAAAACAGAAAAGCGAATGCAGGAGATCACGGGTCGTCCATAGATGCTTTGTGTTTTCAGTGTTATGATTTTTAAAAGGTGTTTCCTTTTTTCTTCCCCATAGTTTTCCATACCATTGGTTTTCCATAGTCAGGCAGAAACCCTGCTTCTCTGAGATTTAGGCCAACCCACTGTCTCTCTCCTCATCACCATATGTAGCGAACTCACAGCCCTGATGGGTCCCTATTCTTCTCCCATTTTTCTTTCTGAGCCATAGGAAAGGGCAGAGAGAGCCATCGCAGCCCCAGGGTGAGCCAGCTTGGTAGCACCGCATGGGAATGCAGAGGGGAGATTTATGATACTTTTGGTGTTTTGGTCTTTTAAGTTCCCAGGTGGTACAAATGCCCAGAGTTACCCAACAGGCTCTCAGGGGAGCTTGGGGGAGTGGGTCACCCTAGTGGCAAGCTAGCACTGCATGAGGGCTGCAGAGAGCCCATGCCAACACCCGAAGGAATCCAGCCAGACCTCAAGAGACTCCGTGATCTCCCATGGGAGCCGGCATCAGGCTGGTTGCACAGGGTCTACTAGACCCGGTCAGCTCGGGCAGGATGGTGAGTGCACCCCAACCAGACCCGGTCAGTCTGGGCAGGATGGTGAGTGTGCCCCAACCAGACCCAGTCAGCCCAGGCAGGATGGTGAGTGTGCCCCAACCAGACCCAGTCAGCCCGGACAGGATGGTGAGTGCACCCCAACCAGACCCAGTCAGCCCGGACAGGATGGTGAGTGCGCCCCTTGCATCCTGCACTTGTCGATGCCAGGAGGCTACCCACGTGGACGAGGCCCTCCACAGCCCACGTAGGTCAGGGGGCAAGAGCTGCCTGCTCAAGTGTCTCCTTTGCTGCCCAGCCCAAGCTTGGTTTCTCAGCTGCAGCCCACAGAAGAGGAAGCACAGACAGCAGCTTGGCTCCATCCTTTGGTCTTTTCTTCCTCTTTTCCACCACTGTCCAGAGCCAGAAAGTGTCAGGAATCCCCACGTCATGGCCTCTTACTTCCATAAACTTCAGGCGCATCACAGCACCTGGCGGGCTTGCCCAAGCAAAAGTGGCTGGGCCCTCCTGGAATTGCTGGCAGGCGGCTCTGGGGGTGTGCGTTTCTAGTGGGGTTCCAGGTGGCGCTCACAGACCTCGGCCGTTAGTAGGGTCTCACCCGCAGCACTCACAGTGCTTGGGGCCAGGCCATTCTCTGTGGTGGGGACCATGCTGTGCATTGCTGGATGTTTAGCAGCATCCTCTGGGCTTACCCACCAGATGCCAGGGGCGCACCCTCCACTCCTAGTTGTGACAGCCAAAAATGTCTGCAGACACCACCCAATGTTCTCTGGGGATGAGAATCCCACCAGGCGAAAGCTCTTCTGTGGAGCTGCCTGCTCTCCCAGGCAGAAGGTTGTGTTTCTGACCCTCCAGGAGAGCCTCATGGATCAGTCCTTTATAAATGAAGAAACAAAGATGAACCTGTTTTTCTTCTGCGCAATCTATTTCTGAATATAGAAACAGCTTGTTCCTTATTTCTCCTGTTCTGCTATTGAAACAAATGCTGATATTCCCACAGATAATGGATTCCTAGAGTAAATTGGGGTAAAAGCCATGCATGGGGGAGGCTAAATAGAAAATTATTGTTATACTTTTACAGATTCTGCTCCCTTTACACCTGTAAAAGGCAGGCACGCTGAGGGTGGTGCTACAGATCCCGTCTATCAAGGGGCAGCTCCTCGCTGGTGCCAGGCCCCTTCCCCATCTTCATGACCATTTGGTCCTGGGCAGTGTGCAGAGCTCCTGGCCCGTCAGGGACTCTCCTCTGTAGCAGGAGTGGTGGGGAACAAACCTCTCAAACACTGAACAGAGAACTGAGGAAGGAAGTGGCTTTTTATTCAGCTGGAAGCTGTGGGGGGCTACAGCCTCATTCACCGAGCTCCCCAAGCTGCAGCTTCTCTCCCCTTTTATAGGCTTACACAGCTAAAGGGGAAACTGAGGCAGGACTATGTCATTGTCCATTTGCTGGACGTCCGACTTTACAATATTTTGGCTTCATTGATTTGCTAATTCATATGCAGCGTGAGCCGGGGTTAGCAGGGGAGGGGGCCTTACAGAGACAAGACAAAAGCAACGAGCTGTTTGTTGGCAGAGGTGTTTCCAGGAGAGAGCCTGGTCGTGGAGACGTGGGAGTGTGACCCAGTGCCAGGCTCCAGCCGGCAGAGCTAACAATCATTTGCAGCTCTTTCAAGGTTAACAGATAGCAGAGACTCTGGGAACTAAAGAGGGAGTCATTTTCCCAGCTCTTTGGTATTTTATTTCATTTTTTTTCCTTCTTCACCCTCCTTACCATCTGGAAGCGGGGAGGGAGGAGGTGAAATTGAAGGAGGCAAGGGGGTTCTTCCCTCTCACCACCCCTTGAGAATCTCACTTCTCTCTCCCTCTCTCTCTCATTTTTTTTTTTTTTTTTTTTTTTTTGTGAGAATTCTCACTCTTACCTTTAGCCTTACTGTCAGGGTTTTTTTTGGTGAGACAGATTGGTAGTGGTTCATGTCATAGGCCTGTGCTGACGTTTTTTCTTAAACCACGGCAGTTATAAATCCTTTTATCACTTGAAGGAGCAAGGACATTGAGCAGGGGAGCAATACGCACGCCCTATTATTAGTAACACATGTATAATAATGGTCTCGAGCCCTCCTACAGCAGGAAACCAGTTCCCAAACACTGATTCAGGATCGAACCCACGCCAGGCCTGTCGGGTACATGTGCCAGTTTTGTCATGTCCCTTACAATAGTTTCAGCCACCTGACCCCGGTCATTTATTTGCAGGCCACAGTTGGTTAAGTTGAATTTTCCACATACCCCTCCTTCAGCTGCCAGTAAGTAATCTAAAGCCAGTCTATTCTGGTGGATGGCATTCCTCATTTTGATCTCCTGCCGTGCCAGGGAGGTTAGAGCCTGGCCAGTTTTGTTGGTGAGGATTTTTAGGACAGCTTGAAACTGAATAATTCAATTAAGCACATAGATTGGAGTATGATAGCCCCACGAGCCGTCCTCTGCCCATGTGGCTGACATTGTATTAATCTCTCAGGGACCATTCATCATCTTTCCAGTCCCCTCCCCTGTAAGTAGGCTTCACTTGTCTCATGAGTGATGGACAGGAAAATCTAACCTCCCCAGTTTTTATGGGTAATAGAAAGAGGGCTTGATGGTACCAAGGGCACCAACTGCCCATCCACTGGTTTGGCAGTTGGGTGTAGGCCCTGTGCCCACGTATCCAGTACAAGCCAGGAGGCACTACCCAGTCCCGGTGGAGTTCCGGGTAGGTCCCGGCCACCTGTAAGGTGGGAAACTTCTGGAAAGGGTTGGTCTTGGTTCTATTTAAACTCCACTAAGTGACTGTTTTACTGGTTTCATTATATACCTTCTGTCCCAAACAGCCTAGCTTTCCCATTGGGACCATCATACCCCTTCCTATTCTGGCCAGACAATATTGTCCGGTGATGGAGGTTTTTAAGATCCAGAAGCTGTTACTCAGGCCCTTTTGCACATAGGTCGCATTAGGGACAGGGTTAGCAGGCACAAGCTTGCGTGTTCCCATGGTCACCGATCCCCTATATAGTTCCTTCATACACAGAGCAAGAATGCACTTTTAAAGTCTTGGCTAACTGAAAGAGCAAGTTTCTTTCTTTGGGAGAGTTTCTTTCTTTCTTTCTTTCTGGGGGAGTTCTGGAACTGGTTCATTCAATGTATCGTAAAAAGTTTGAAACACTGGGTGGGGTGATCGCTGGTGCCAGGCCCTTTCCCGGTCTTCATGACCACTTGGTCCCAGGCAGTGTGCAGAGCTCCCATCCCGTCAGGCACTCTCCTCTAATCCAAGTTGCCCGTGGGGAGAAGCTTTCAGGGGGGTTTCATGGTGCTGGTGGTGGTGGTGTATCCCCGACACCCTGGTGGAATGTCAGATCTAATTATAGAAGCCACAATTTTCTCTACTCAAGTGTGTTGGAGAATGAATTGTTGACCCTCTTTAATTCACCCAGATTCCTCCCAGAGTCTCAGCGGCAGTACTAAACGCCTGTTGTATCCGAAGTGGATTTTTATTTTTCCAGGGGCAGCCTGAAGAAGTTGGAGGCCAACAGAGAGCTCTGTCCTTTTCTCCTCCATCATACAGAGTTCCCCGAGTAACAAGAAAGCCTCCTAGGCCAGGTGAGGTGGCTCAGGCTCACACCTGCAATCCTGTTACTTTGAGAGACCAAGGCAGGCGGATCACAAAGCCAGGAGTTCGAGACCAGCTTGGCCAACATGGTGAAACCCCATCTCTACTAAAAATACAAAAATTAGCCCCGTGTGGTGGTGGGCACCTGTAGTCCCACCTACTCAGGAGGCTGAGGCAGGAGAATTGCTTGAGCCGGGAAGGCGGAGGTTACAGTGAGCTGAGATCATGCCACTGCACTCCAGGGTGACAGAGCAAGACCCCGTCTTGGGGAAAAAAAAAAAAAGCCTCTTATCCTTTCAACCACGGAAACAGAAATTTGTCTGGGAAGTAAGTGGGGAACCTGAAACCTTTTTGTAACCTGTTAAAGGCTAGGTTGGTCTATTAGTCCATTTTCACACTGCTGTAAAGATACTACCAGAGACTGGGTAATTTATAAACAAAGGAGGTTTAATTGACTCAGTTCTGCATGGCTGCGGGAGGGCTCAGGAAACTTCTAATCATGGTGAAAGGGAAAGCAGACGCTTCTTCACAAGGCAGCTGGAGAGAGAGGAGTGAGTACAGGGGAAACTGCTCTTTATGAAACCATCAGATCTTGTGAGACTTACTATCCTGAGAACAGCATGGGGAAAACCACCCCAATTAGCCAATCGCCTCCCAACACGTCCCTCCTTTGACACATTGGGATTATGGGGATTACAATTTGAGATCAGATTTGGGTGGGGACATAGAACCCAATGCTATGAGCTGGTTTCAAGGAGCCTTTCTCCTTTTTGAGTAAATTAAGTTTGTACAGAAAATGCAAGTTCTTCTCTTTTTTGACAAATGTGTAGGACAGAAGGTAATTCAGCACAGAGACCCAGACAATCTTTAAGTCTGTATGCCCTCTGTGGACTTGCAGTCCTGTGGATGATACCTTAATCTTGATCCCCAAGGCAGGTGACACCACGTGGGGCAAACAGTAAGAACCCCTTTCGGATCCTCTCTGCCACCTGAAGTCCAACCAATAGCTGACTCCCCATCCCCAACTAACTTCCTAACATTGGGATGAGCCAATGTCTCACTTGCTTTGATCAACTGGGAGAAGTAAGTCCTGAGTGGCAGCCCTCAACTCTAAAGAGACAACAGAAGTGGCCCAACAGAAACGCATTCTGTAGCCAGGAACCGTGGATTCATAACCATGAGAACACCAGCCTCTGAGAACATTTCAGCAGCTGTTATCCAGTGACTGGGAGACAGGCCCTCCCTGGCTGTGCAGCAGTGATGAGAAGGAGGCCTCTCAGGGAGACAGGACAGGCTGCTGTGTCCTGCAGAGGCCAGGGTATGTCTGCAGCATGCAAGTCATCTGGCCCTTGTACTAAGAGTCCTTTTAGTAAGAGTCCGTTTAGTTAAAAGCAGTACATTTCCTGTTGTTTGTTAGACAGGTGTGGTTATTTCGCTGTAATGAAACTTATGAAAAGCAAACCACGACCACCTTCTCAGAACACCTTCTGAAAAAAAACCCCATTTTTTACACATCTATTTTACTTTTTATGTTGGATTAAGTTATTTAATGGCTTGGGTATTTGAGTTTTCTTTTTGTATGGTTTTTTTTTCCTAGAAAATTGCCCTTGTCATCTTGATTTTTATTTTTTTCTGTCATGAAATTTTAAAAAGTACTTTTTAATCTATATTGTAACTGTAATCATTTTATCCTTTATGGCTTCGTTTTGCCAGCTTTTCTTGGTCAGTCTTCCTAAAGATTTCTCAATTTCACTAATGTTTTCAAAGTACTGCTTCTAGGTTGTTGCTTATCTCTACCATGGTGTTAATTTTGTTACTTTATTTCTGCTTGCACCTTTTCTTCTGCATTTCTTTCTACTTTCCGTGTGTACTGTGTTTTTCTTTTCCCCACTTGTATTGAATTATTAGCTTCTTTATTTTCTTTATTTTGTGTTTCTTAATGGTGAATTTAAGTTTATAAATATTATCTAATTGTCATTTTAACAGCATCCCAGAATGTTTTTTCCATTTTAAAATTTTATTGGAAAGAATTCTTGTTATTTCGTCATCCCATATAAAGAATCACATAGCTGACTCAACGAAGTCTGCACTCCCAGCGTCTCATCTCATCTTAGCATATCACGAAAAACCGTGACCCAGTAGATGCACCTATATGACATATGAAGAAAAATAAAATGACTACTCATTGCCAGTCATGTAGCGTAATCATTAGAATAGTAACGAACGTTACCAACTCGCACCTTTACGTTTTCTCCTCTCCTGCGCCAGTGGTAACTGGAATAGCTTACATTTTGTTCATATTCTCTCCTTGGTGTACTTCAGTGTTTTACTATCTATGCATTTATCACTAAGATACTATTTGTATTTGTGCATTTTGAGTATCTTATATAAATGGTGTTGTATTGTGTGATTCTCTTAGATTATTTTGGTGTCATACTATATGTATTCTTCGACTATTTTTTTGTTGTTATACAACATTGAGTTCATTACTTACACCGCTCTATAGAAATCTACTTGTGAATGCACTAAAGAGCAATTATACATTCTCTTTGTGGGGGACAGTTAGCTTTATTTAGTTTGGGGATATTATGAACAATGCTGATGCAAACATTTATGTGTAGGTTTCACAGTGTGCATGTGAATGCATTTCTGCAGGACGGACAATGTGAAGTAAAACTGGTCTTAGGACTTAGCACATTCTCAATTTCACTAGATGATACCAAATTCCTTTCCAGAGTAGTTGAGAATAAACTTCAACCACAGTGCCAATCAACATATGTGTGTAAATTTTTATTTTCTTTTAAACTGTATTTCTTTATTAGTAAGGAAGTCAGTGTCTTTTAATATGATTATTGGTCATTTATACTTCTGTGAAATGAGTATTTCTAATATATTTTGCCCATTTTTGTAATGTTTTGCTTTAGTTTATTTTTGATTTCCTTTTGAGTTGATTTTGAATGTTTATTCATTTTTTTGAATGTTTATTCTTAAAGAATATAAACATTTCAAATAACTTCTTCCAATTTGTGGCTTGTCTTTTCCTTTTTAAAAAAATGTGGCACATATACACCATGGACTATAATGCAGCCATCAAAAACGATGAGTTCGTGTCCTTTGTAGGG